GGCAACTTAATTGCATGTTAAACAGGCGCTCCGATAGAAAAAGTTAAATTATTAAAACAATATTTGTGTGCGATTAGATGGCAGGAACAGGAAGGAAACTAGAACCAGGGAGAACGGCTAACCAAGCCGAAGATTGAATACCCATTCAGACTTAAGGCTTCGAGGAGAATTGTGTAGATAACATTCTCTCAGAAAGAAAACAATAACAATCCAGAATAACTATCTATGGCATGCCGAAATTTAAATAATTATGCTGACATATGTCTTAGGACCGATATATGCTGACTGTAACAGAAAACTGTTAACTGGGAAACTTGTATCAATAGAGAGACTTGACTATATCTCTCTGGTTAATGCTGATCAAGAACGCGCGTACCTTTTGAGATCAGGGTTATATTCTTCTATGCCTTAAATATTTATAATAAAATACGCAATACATGAATGGGACGTCAACTGCAGTCTAATGCTAATGCAGTGTTAAGTGCACACTGGAAAAACATAGTAAAAGTTTTGTATTTGAATCAAACACAAACTAAATCAAAACATAGCCGAGAGCCAAGTTACTTAAGATAAATTCTTATTTTAAAAACTATTTTCTTACTTCCAAAATACCCGACTCAAATATAGCACATAAACTTAAAATTTTTTAATAATACCCTTTAAAACATTTGCTTATTCTTATTTGGTAGCTCATCTAATTTTATCTAATTTCTCAGGCATTGAATAAATAAATAATAATAATTGTATCATGAATTCTATTCAAGTCGCAATATTTATTTCTCACATCCTTTTTTCGCTGAGTGTGGCAACTTGGCGCCAGAGCGACGCAGGACATTGCGAGCTTTGAGTGTGCTGTAAGGTGGCAATAGTTACACGCTTTATTTGACGCCCTGCCGCCAGTGGACAGTTAAACAGGACTAGAGTCGAGTCGGGGAAGTTAACCCTCGTTGGCCATGACGACAAACAACGACACAACAAGGACACAACAATGTGGCGCTAACTGTTATAGCTCGACGCCAATGTCGCACGCGCCGCCATCAATGTGGCAGGTGGCAGAAAGGAAGCCTTCACTTCTGGACTCAGAAGTTGAACAGCTGACTTGCAGTTCGATTGCCGTTAATCACCAAATAAATATTTGCTCTATGTGAAACATTAATAAACATTCGAGCAGGATCGACTAGCATATGCCCTTTCTTTATTTTTCCTCTCTTTATTTTACTTGCATCTTTGCCTTACGAGAGAACACGAAATACTGTCAAAAATTGAACATATATATATTGGAAATTTGTGAAAGTTCTTTATTTTCAATCTCTAGACCTAAATATCTCTGGGATCCACTTTTGCTGATAAAACCCAAGCAGCTGCCTTAAGGGTTGTTAGATGCCAGCTTCTGACTATATATACCCTTGCACAATTGCAAAATACCCTTCCAACCAATTTTTTAATGAGTGTAGTAGGTATTTATATAGTATCTATTGCGATGCTATATAATATCTATGGGCACTTTATTTACTACTGCTGTTGTTGTCGTTTTAGGATATATCCTGTTGATTCCGCGACAGCTGCCTTGCTTGGCATTCGCTGGGTGAGGTCATAGCAAAAGCTCAGTTGGAGCCAAAGTCAAGCGACAATACGGCTATTTTAAGACTGAAGCTATTTTAATGCTTGAATTGGGGGAGTGAACGGAGAGCGGTGTCAAGACGGGAAATTATAGCCGCTGCGGGTCTCCGGAGTGCAGCAATTAGTCAAAAAAAAAAAAAAGGTTTGCTTCAGCTTCGATTTTTGGCTGGCTGTTTGCATCGGTGGAACCCATTTGTCTTGTGCCCCGGCAATTGGGTCAAGCGTGGCATATGCACGTGAGCAGCCGCCTCTACCTTCCCTACCCCCTCGTACGTAGCATACTGGCCTCTGCCATAATGATAAATGCAAGCGAGCAGGGGCTGTCCCCGAGGCGGGGCACAGTTGTTATCGGCGAGCGGCGTCAATTATGGCCAGCAGCAGCAACCGCTTTATCGGCCTACCGAATGGTATAAGACAGCCATGGCACTGCCCGACTAGCAAATACCCCGTATTCAAAAAGTCTTACTTCCTTATATACATTCATAATAGTAAAGGGTATATTGTAATGAAAACATCTGCGACCCTATTAAGTCTACGCGTCGTCTCATTATACTTCTCGAGATCGAGGAGAGGGATGCGTCCACAGACAGACAGACCCACGATAAAAGCTAGATCGATCCAGGCTTGTCGGTCTCATCTAGATCAAATGCTTCCATCTCCCTACTACACATACGTCCTCAAAAACAGTATACCCTCTTTAGTTGTACACAGTGCTTACAGGGTACAGCAAGACAAAATACATTGGAAATGCTGCAGCGTCATTAGGTGACCCCAAAACCGAAAATACGAAACCCAAAATGAAATGAAAAATGTACTAAATGAATTTTCGTTGTGCTGATAGCAGGAGCTGCAGCAGGGGCAACTCTTATCAAACACACACGCACACACGCACGCACACAACTCCCATTTGGGTAGAGGGGTATCGGAAGCGGCAACGGCATAGGATTTGTTAAGTGCCTGCAGCGTTTATCTGTCGTTGAATCAACACAAGGCAATTCGTGTTATTGGAAAGAATTCCCACCAGCCACACTCGGCATGTGGTCAACATGTGCAGCAGGAGGCGGCAGGCAACAACGGCTGCTGCATTTGCATGCATAGTGGCAAAAAACACATGACATGCTCCACATTCGTGTGACATTTGCTGTTGCACCCGAGTGCAAAAGTGTTACATGCAACAACAACAACAACAACAAAGCTGCTGCAACAAAGAGAGCGCCCCAAAATGTGGCACGCCCCTCACTGCGTATAAATCGCTTGCATTGCATTTTGCTGGCCTCAAATTGGAGCAGAGAAGTGACCCAGCCCCAATCCGGTGGCTAGAGTCAAATGTCATTAGGGAGCGAATCCGGATTGGAACTAATTGAATGGGCGCTGCTTGCCAATTTGCAGGCAATGCAATAAATTAACATTTCTCGATGTGGGTTCGAATCGGCAAGTTTCAAAACATGGTTCGATGGAAGCATGGTAAGGTTTTAGTTAGTGAGAGTTTAAAGGTTCAAGTCGCGATTCGAACCGATAAGATTTAAGCCTTGGCTCAAAGCTGCAAGTTTTAAATCGTGGTTTGAACTAGTTAGCTTTAAATGGCGGTTCAAACTGGATAGGCTCGAGCCAATAAGTTTTGAATTGTAGTAGTATACGGTAAAGTTCAAATGGTGACTCAACTTTGAGATTTGAACCAGCAAGAATTAAATGAGGCCTCGAACTGCTAAGCTTTAATTAGTGGTTTATCAGTTATTTTGAGATCGTGGCTCAAATTAGTAAGGTTCAAATAGTTATTCGATCTGGCAAGGTTCTAATTGTAGTTAAGGCTTTTTGTAAATTTCAATCGAACATTAAGGTGAACCTTCTATTAATTTACCTTAAAAAGCACCCAGAAATTCAAGCAAAGCCTCGAACAAACATGGTTTAATGTTATTCAATATTCAATAAACGAGTCACACAAGGAAATAGTAAACAATTTTTAAAGGTCTGCATTGCAAATGCACTCACTGCACCCTTCCCCCCTCAAAAGCCAAGGAATTCCGTTGCGTCTCATCCGCTTTGATTGAAGGGTGAGTCTTGCAAATTCTAACAGACTTTCGCCTGGCAGTCAAAAACCAACTCGAAGCAACAACATTCCAAGCGGAAATTTCACCAACATCCGACTTGAGTATTTAATTTCCTCACGGCGCAATGCAGCTGCCACACAGTTGGGCCCGACTGATGTCATTCCGTGTATACCACGCAAAGTGTGGGCAGACGACTTCAGGGAGCCAGGCACACGTCACAGACGCATACGTGACGTCGCATATGCTGAAGCGTATTGGTGGGAGCTTATGTGGGGAAGGTATCAGCAGACAGCAGACAGCAGACATTGCAGAAGGAGTCGGTGCCCATAACATAAATAGAAACAGCCACAAAGCTTGACAACGCGACAAAGTTTCACAATTCGCCAAACCACCCGCATGAAGGATACCTGCATACAGATACACACAGCACAACACACACACACACACACCCCTCACACAGGTGCATAAGGGAAAAGCCAAAGAACAACCCTCAACCGCGTATGCGACAAAAATTATGAATGAAGCCACAGATAAGCAGAGCAACTGCAGAAAAACAATAAGGATATTTAAAAGTACCGAATCACAGTTGCCCTTAAAGGTAATAACATATTTGTCAGGCTTACAAGGGATAGGTCGTTGGCTCAAACCCTTTGAATTTGACTGTAGCTGTTGTTTTCTTGCGCCAGGGCAACGTCGGAATTTCATAACAACAAGGAGAGGTCGCTGGCTCAAACCTTTTTCATCTTTAATAACCTCAGATATTAATATAAATTAAAGATTAAATTTGAGCTCTGAGGTAATTCTAACTACCAAAGCTTCAAACTCGCTTTTAGCTTAATGCCGTCCATCTAAAACATTTTTATACTTTTTCTGTTCTATCAATTAACTTTATAGTCTGCCCTAGCTCAATCGTCGTATACCCTTTCTCGGCAATTCCCGCTCTCTCTCTGGTGCTGTTCGTGGGATATGCAAGAACAAGTCCGCATTGGCCGGGTTTTGTGTGTGTGCGTTTGTGTGTTGCGTCATTTTCTTGCTTGACAACTTCAACAACAACAAAAGTCGTTTCAGTTTGAAAAGATTAAAAATTGTATTGTGTGTGCCGTGTGTATTGTGGGACGGCATGGACTATGGACAGCTCCTACTTAAAACAGGATGCAGTCCAGGGGCATAAAACTTTTTAGCACTTTTATTGCTGTTGCCGTATGTTTCGACAACAGGCGACAGCCCAACACTCAGACAACAAATTGTCAGCTTGTTGACGAACAGCAACAGCAACTGCCACGAAAAGTCAGAATGCACTCAGTGGAGAGCTGCTCGACTATAAGATACCCTGTAAACAGCAACAAGCTGCGCTCAGTGGCAAAAAGAGCAGTTTTACCTATAAACTTGGGTTATAGTAAGAAAGTAAGTAAGCTCGAAGCTATGTTCAAAAAAAGCTTGAATCGATATTGATTGATTTAAAGAAAACTTGATATCGATAGAGGAATCGGATCAACATGCCAATCCTTAAGGCTCCAACTTCTCTAGAAAGAGCCAAAACTATGCTGATAAATCTATAACTAGAGGTTAATAATAATCGATGTTGTAAAACCTTGATATCCGCTGGGGTTTTTCGGAGGTATGCTGAGCAAAATCCTTGACTTAAAGTTAATACATATCGATTTTAGGAAAAAAAGATATCGATAGATATAATCTGCTGTTCAAACGTAAGTTTACTGCTCTTAAGATTGATGCGCAGATCAACCCAACCATAGTTTCCTATCTGGAATATGCCTTCTGCTGCCTGCTAAACCTGCACTCAATACTATAATACCTTTTCACGGTTACGCAGGGTATCACAAATGCAACGAATCAACAGCCGGCAGATATAAACATGAATTTATAAGAAGAAAACACACTCACACACACACACACATATGTGGCTGCAACTCAGGCTAATAAAGCAAACTAACAAGTAAGAGTGTGAGCGGGGAGGGGAGTGTGATAGGGTAAAGCTGCTGCCTGCTGCTTGTGTTTTGCCAGAGCTATAAGCACTTGAACAACATTAAACTCTACTCATTTCGTTTTTGTGATTACACGTTGCGTGCGGCCTCAAGTGTCGCAACTCAAAGTGCGCTTATCAACGCCCAAAGCAGCTGAGTTGGCAGATGGGCACAGCGGCAGGGCTGAGCAGAGGGGGGAGAGAGGGAGAAGGAGAGGGGTGCTTACAGGCAGCAAGTTTTAACAAATATTTTATAGAGCATGCATGATGGCCGGGGCTCTCAATGCGGCGAGCTGGCACTTGACATAGTTTGCAGCACCTTTAGGTACAGCGCCCCGCCCCTTTCACCACCCCTCTATTTACGCCACGCCCACTCAGTGCACCACGGCCCGCTGGTAAAGTTGATTTATGCAACAGCTTGCCAGGCGACACTTGCGAAGCGGCATAATATTATAAAACTGAAGCTTTTACACCTATTAAAATGTACACAAATGGCTGAGAGTGTGCGGCTGTTAAAGTGTGTGTGTGTGTGTGTGTGTATTTGGGTGTGGGTGTGTGTGCCTTGCCACTTAAAAAACTAGCAGCGCAAAATTGGATTTAATCCTCGCCTGGCTCGCAGCAGGACGAGCTTCTGCCTTGGTTGCAATTTTCATTAAATTTGCAGCTTGCAACGTGCCGCAGCTCGCCCAACTTGCAACTTGCAGCTTGCACTTATGTGCCGTTATTTTATGCATGAAACCAAATAACGGCACCCGCACGGCATGCCATTTTGGGGCTTCCGTCGCCATCCTCTCGTCCAAAAACTCCGCAGGGGGCCACGAGCCATAACTTCATTAGGGTCGTCGGGCGAAGCAAAAAATTGAGCCAAAGTTGGCGCAGTCTAGGGTATCTATAGAGCACACCCGCTGCACCCTTAACCCCTGCTTCTGACCCATCTCCCCCTTCCGAAGCGACCACCCGCATGTGCAGCAAAAGAACAACTGCTCGGAATGCTGGTTGAAAAGAGAAATATTTAAAATATAATCCTACAGACGACAGACGCGAGCGCTTAACCTTACCCAGACCCGACCCCAACCCCGACCCCGTTGCCGTTGCCTCCGTCGAACCCTATCGCGACCCCCAGAGCCAGGGCCAGGTAATTAGTCATGAAAGGCGAGAACCTCTATGTGAAGCAGAGCTTGTAACTGGACCCGACTCGAGGGTTTCTCTTGGCGAGGTAGGGACCTCGCGTGCCGCTCAAATTCTAATGCAAGGTTCAAACCCTGCCCTCGATGGAAGGTTTCAATCATGCGACACAGATTTGCATTTGGCAACACGTTTTGCACGTTGTCACATTAAAATAAAAAACAACTGATCTGAGAAGGGGGAAGGGGGGGAAGGAAGGCTGCTCAAACTTTCACTCAAAACGAAATAAACAAATTCCGTTGCGTGACGCAACGAGAAACACAATAATTCAATTAAATGCCAAAAACAATCAGCATAAATCAAAGATGATCATTTAAATAAGCAGTAAATAAATTATGCTTAAATGCATGTTGAAAATGAATATTGAAAATGATATTTGAATCAGTTTTGTATGGCAATAAGGGGGAATTATCTATTTAAAATACTAGTTTGGAGTGGGATCTATCCATATAAGAGCTGAAACTCCCACAAAAGCTTTCATGTGGGTGAAAAGTAAGCACTAGGAGGGGGTTTTTGTTTAGTTAAGCTCCAAGGGTGAGAAAATGGAGGTCAACGTTTCTGAGAGAAACATTAACCAGAACTTTATAAAATATGTACTCCACTCTTTACTAACAATCGAGAAGTCGCTGGCTCAAAGCTTTTTCTTTAAGTAAAAAATTTGTTTTATATTGCGCTGGCATCGATAAGTGCCTTCTGATCTCTAGTTATCTTATCTCTCACCTTTGTCAGGCGTCTTAATAACAAACGAGAAAAGTCGCCGGTTCAAAGCCAGCAGCGATTGTCAAGCAGCTTGCAAGCGAATAAACTGTATTCTTATGGGTTTCTTAACCCCCTTTTTAGTGTTATTTTGAACTAAATCTGATATACAACTGCTTTCTGGCGTATTTTAGTCTAGCTGTTAGTCGGAGCTGCAATTATTTGTAATTCCTGCCAAACAAATTGTCTGAAAGAGCAATAAAGTGTTGTTTCAAGCTCGTAAAAATATGTCATGAAAACTTCAGGCCAAATCGCTAAATACATGTTTTTTCTCTGCGAGTGTGTATGTTTGTCTCGCTGAGAGTTTGGCTATTAAAACAAAAAGCAAAAGAAAGAAAAAAAAAACTAGGCCTAACTCAAGCTGTTAACCCGGCTAGGCAAGTGCCGAAAACTCGTTTTGGACTCTACTCGAAGAACTGGAGCACACGCGAGTCGAGTGCCAGCAGCCGCCTCTTGGCTACCAGAGCTTTAACTTTTGTCGAGTTTTTTTTTTATTGGTCACAAAGAAAAGGAAAATGCTGGAGGCACCAAATGGCATTTCCAGCGTTTAGCATGTGCCAGTTAATGGCCGCCCAGAGAGCAATGGACCAAATGACAAAAAAAAAACCCCCCGCTCGCAGCTGGACACGGAAGGAATATGGCCAACAACTTGCGCAGCAGCTCAGGCTCTCAAAGTGGAGAACTCGCTCTCTCAAAGTGGAAACTAGTTGAAAGTCCAGTTGCCAAGTGCTGGCCGCTGCTGCCCAAACTCCCAACTGAAGTCTCTTTAAGCAAATATGAAATTAGCATTCTATTTGTATAATCAAGTACATATAAAACTAGATAGACGAGCGAGCACTGGGCGTCATTTCCAGGCACAACACACGCATCCGTTTCTCATCAGTCTTATCAGAGAGACAAGAAATTAAACAAGTGTGCTTATGTGAAGTGTGAACGACTGGGCCATATCCTGTAAATGACAGTAAAAATGTGCATATACCCGACATTCAGGCTGAGCTGCCTTCTGCTTGCAAAATTCATGTTTAACAAACTTGGCATTCCTTTATGTTTATATACCCAATATAACCTTCAGACAAACTTATTTTAATGCTAACCGGTTACTTATATATAATTTCTATGCCTATATTTGCATGCTGGACACCCATTTGCAATGTTTACAGGGTATTAGTACTAACAAAAAAATAAAATAAAATAGTCAACGCTGACGGCGACATGGCGCAAATATTGATTTTTATACCATGAGCAATGCGATGTGCGTATGCGTGTGTGTGCCTGGGTGTGTGTGTGTGTGTGTGTATTTATTTTATGTATTTATAAGGCGGCAGCAACTTCATTGCGCTGGAGCTGCGAATGCGTGGCTAAAACAAAAACGCAAGCAAAACAAACAAACACAACACAACAAAACGCAAACACACACACACACACAACATAGCACAACACACACATACACAAACAACTCACACACACGAGCAGACTCTTAAAATATTTCAAACACGTTGAAACAATTGCATGCGAAACGAGAAAACGACAAGCGACAAGCGTTAAAATCTGGCAAAATTTTATCATGTTTTATTTTAAAGAAGCCAACTAGTCGCAAGTGTGCGACCAGAAGATACCCTGTATTAACCAATTGGAATTGTGTATGTACACAGTACCAGGAATAAGCACACACATACGAATGCACGCGTTTTCTGCAGCGGCTGTCCTTCTTCTATCCCTAAAAACCACCCTATTTATAAGATGTGCCGTCTTGAGTATCTTCGGTGTTTACAGTCCGATTTTAATGAACTTTAAAGGGCTTAAGTTTGGCATCAAGAAGTTTATGCATACCAAAGAACAAAGTTCTAGCTACATGATGTAATTACTTCGACAAATGCTCTAAAAAACAAGTCTCAGAACACATTTTATGAGAAAAGGCGAAGATATTGAAACAAATAAAAAGGCCTGTAAAATTCTCACAGACCTACAGGCAGGCACACATCCAGAATATATTTACTTTATGCACTCGCAGTTGCATTTCTCTGCCTGTCACAGACATCTGCACAAAAACAATATACCCTTTTTCAACATTTTGCACGGGCTGAGCGTATTAAAAGCTGAGGAAAAGGAAGCCAGTCGCAGCGAAATAAACCCAAGAAAAAAACAAAAAAAAAAAAAAACACGCACGAGGCCAAAGCAGAGCAAACAGAAACAGTTTGTCAAGCAGGCAGGGGGCTGCGGATTGACAGCAACTGGCGCTTCAAGCAATCACATTTACTGCCCCTACGACGGACGCGATTCCGACTGACTGACTGCCGCGGGGCTTGGACACAGGGTTAGGCACCTTATGATAACCCCTGTCCTGCCTCCGCTCTTGCCACGCCTTCAGCCATCAAGTCTTAAGCAATTTGTCTCACGTGACCTGCTTACCGAGTCAAAGAAGGCAAAGGAAACGCTGCTCAGGATGCGCATCACTAACTCGACCGACCCCTCGACCTGCGCTCGCTGCAACGCCTGCAGCACATTTCATATTTATAGCGCGTGGGCGGCCCATCCAAGTGAAAGACCCTTTTGGCAGTTGTATCACTTTCGGTTTTCTTCTCTTTTTTTGGAGGTGCCTTGTCAGCTGTTGAGCAGCAGCACGCGCTCCCTCATTGCCTCTTTATCACTCTATCTTTATCATTTGCGCTTGAAGGTCTCGAAATACACCCCTTAATA